CCTACTGCTACCTACCCCTCTTCCTTCCTGATTCTGTCTGGGGTGGAGAAGACCTCACAAAGTGCTTCCTTTGCTGACCGCCTTGAGGAGTGGCCTTGAGACGCAGTTCTGTCTAAAGAGATAGAAGCAGGGGTCTCCCTGGTGGCACAAGGGGTTGAGACGCAACCTATGAAGCTGTCCGCAGTCACTGCAGCAGGAGTTCGAGCCCCAGCCAGGGAGCTACCCTCATGGCGTGGCAGACCTCTCCTGACTTGCCCACTGCTCCCCTCAGCAGTGTATTTCAGTCAATCTGCCTGTTCTGCTCCCCACTCTGTCTCTGGTGAATCCTCTCACCCCCTACACCTCTGGCCTGTACCCCAGTTCTTGTATGCATAAATAAATAAATCTTAAAAAAAATAAAGAGATAGAAGCAGGAGTCACAGGATGGGGCTACCAGGAAGATTTTTAAAAATGGGACAGACTCCGTTGGTGTTGCCTTTCCTTTTCGCTCCCCTTTCCTGTCCCACCTGAATGCAGATGTGATGCTTAGAGGTTCAGCAGCTATCTTGGGGCCATGAGGAAGATGCCACAGATTGTGAGATGGCACTTCAGCCATCGACTGTCCCCTTCTAGAGTTCTTGTTAAATGAGAAAAACAAATGTTTGATTTGCTTAAGATGTACATTTTAGGTCTCTTTCTCACAACTGAACGCACCACCAATAAACAACCAGGCAGTTTGAAAACTTGATATTCTCCCCTAGATAATATTAAGAGTCCCTGACCTGAGCTAGGGCCTCCCTGGTGGCACAGGGGTTAAGTCTCAACACTATGAAGCTGTCCGCAGCCACTGCAGCACGAGTTCAATTCCCAACCAGAGAGCTACCCACATGGCGCAGCAGACCTCTCCTGACTCGCCTGCTGCTCCCCTCAGCAGTGTATTTCAGTAGATCTGCCTCTTTTGCTCCCCACCCTGTCTCTGGTGAATTCCCTCACCCACCCCTGCACCTCTGGCCTATACCCCAGTTCTTGTATGCATAGATAAATAAAATAAATCTTTTTTTAAAAAAAAAAGATTCCCTGATCTAAAGGAGAAAGGAGACTAATGACAGATTTGATTGAGATCCTCCCTGTGGCCATCTGTCCCCTACTCTACCAGGCTTGGGCAGCAGGGCAACAATAACAACAACCACAAAAACAAAACAAAACAAAACAAAACAGAAAAACAAGCAGGTTTGGGGGAGGGCCATTGTTTTACTGCCTCTGACCAACCTTGAAACTGCGCCTCCCTTCCCTGCTTGCTGGGGAGTCCAGCAGCAGAGAGGGCCTATGAAGACAAGGAGGCTGGAACTTCCAGAGTCTCCCTCAGTCTGGCATAGCAGAGGGAACAGCCAGATGTTCCCCAGATGCCTGCAAGGATGCAGAAGTGACTGTGAAAGGGGCCTGGACCTGGGGAGGCCTCAGGACAGGGAACAGAATGGCCAGCTGCAGCAGGGGGCTCGGGGCCTCAGCCAGCAAGGCAGACACCTGAGGAGGCCCAAAGGCCGGCTCCCCCGCCCACTTGTGAGCTCGTTGCCAGCAGAGGATGGCCAGGGATATGCTGCATCCTGGCAGAACAAAGGCTCAAAGTCAAAATGAAATTCTGTAATCGAAAAATAGAGAAACCCACCTGTCCTGTGTGCCTGTGTTTAGGGCTGAGTCACCTCGTTGCTGGAGAAAAAGGTGAGGACTGAGAAGAGGCAGAATGCGAGGAGGGGTGGCTGACGCCAGGGGCGCTTAGGAAAGGAAACCCCACTCTGCAACAAAAAGAAGCACACGGCTAAGACGGGAACGTGAGTGGGAAGCCATTTGGGCAGGTGGAAGGATCCAGACACAGAGACAACACAGCACGGCTCAGCCATGTGTCCAGACCGGGCAACGCTCATCTATGGTGAAAGAATCCAGAACAGTGGGAGGCGGTGGCCTCAGCGGAGGCGGAGCTGGGCAGAGGCGTGAGGGCACTCTCTGGGCTGGTCGAGGAGTGAACTGCATCTAGGTTGGGGGTGTAGTCGTTACACTGTACATGTCAAATTCATCCCATCTCTTCATTTAAGATCATTTCACCATATATAGAGTGTACCAATCTCTCTCTCTCTCTCTCTCTCTCTCTCTCTCTCTCTCTCTCTCCTTCCTTCCTCCCTTCCTTTCTTTTTAAAGGTTGGGATTTGGGGGCCTCCCGGGTGGCGCAGCAGTTGAGCGCTGGGTTGTGAAGCTGCCCGCGGCCTCTGCAGCGCCGGTTCGATCCCCGGCTGCTCCCCGGCCACCAGAGGAGGGTCCCACATGGCGCGCAGACCTCTCCTGCCGCCCGCTATTCCCCTCAGCAGTGTACTTCGGTCCTTCTGCCTGCTCTGCTCCCCGCTCTGGCTCTGGTGAATTCTCTCACCCTCCCGTGCTTCTGACTGTACCCAGTGCATGTATAAATAAATAAATAAATCTTTAAAAAAAAAAACAAAACATATTTCAAAAAAAAAAAAAGGTTGGGATTTGACGGGAGAGGACAGGACTTTGAAGGGAGCAGCCCCTTCAACTGAGGAGGCTGAGTCCTTCTAGCTGGAGAAAGAGCCTGAGATGCGTGCTGTGGAGGGACGCACGCACGCACAACGCCCCTCCAAGGCCTGCATCCTGGACAGCGCCTCAACCCCAACAACCCCCACCTAGGCCAAATGTCAGGAGGTAACTGGGCAGGGAGGGATCGGGTCGGGGGCCTCCTGTGCCCAGCAGAGCCCTGGCCCCACATCCAAGCTGCCCGGGGGACAGCGGCCATAGACAGCCTTCCCGCGCACGCCGGGAGGGCTGCAGCTCCAGAGTCTACTTCATGGAGGCCAGCTTGTCCTGGGCTGGCTTCAGCATGTGAGGTGCCAGTTGGTCCTGCTTCATGTGAGGTGCCACCCCCATGCCGCGAGGTGCCGTGCGGAGTGACGACCTTCTGCAAAGGCAGACGACGGGCAGCCGCGGACCTTCTCCCTGGGAGTCCGCTGGAGCCGAGGGCGGGCCCCAGGGTCTAGGAGAAGAGCCAGGGTTTCCGAACGTGAGGGTAGGAGATTAGAAAGATTAGCAGAAAGGGGGAAGCCAGGAAAATCCTCTTTCATGTACATTTTTTTAATAATTTATTGATGTGTATTTTGCATCATTGCTCATTTTTGTACAATGTTTGCGTTCCCCTCTCGGGTGCGGTCCCCGTAGGGCTCCCACCACCAATCCCCCGTGCGCCATCCCCACGGGGAGGTCCCTGAAGCATGGGACCCCGGCCCCAGCAGGGTCCCTTCCCCTTTTGGGGGGAGGGAGGTTCCCGGGAGCACACAGTCCCGCCCCACAGGACCCGCCCCTCTGCCCACTCTCGCAGCTGCCGGCTTCCCAGGCCTCAAGGGCGGGGGCAGCCGGGGCCAGGGCCAGCAGCCGCTCCCAAGGCCATGCCAGCCTGGCTCAGGCCGTCCCGTGACCTTCCCACCCGGCCTCCCCACCAATCCCGTCCCAGCAGCACCGCAGCCTGGGGCGGTCACGGCTGCTCCGGGAGTGGTCACCCCCAGCTGCGCCCGACTGCCCTGTGTCCTGGGGTCTCCTGCTTGGTCCCTCTGCATCCTGCACTCTAGGTGCCTCACTCCCCTCTGACCCCGAGGTTCTCCAATGCCCCCCAGGCATAGTCCCAGGCCTTGGCTTTCGCTGTTGCCCTGGGATACAGTTCCCTCCAGGCCGGGCTGGCACACTTCGGCCAACTCTTAGGTTGGGCTTACTGGCCCCTCAGCGAGGCCCTCTTCATCCATGGTGGGGGTGGGGGGTGCTACCACTGATAACAATCACAATAACCTTAGTAACGTAGTTTACTTGTTTTTTAAACTGTTCCTTAAACTCCTTTTCCCATGAGCTCTGCTCAGTCCTCTGCTCCTAGGAGGCTGGTAAGCATTGGTTGGTAGGATAAAGGAACTCGCACACAGTAGGGCCTCACAGATGGGGCTGCTCTTGGCACACTGTTTTGTGCCCTGCTCGCCCACCAAAAGCTGTGGTCACCCCTCCCTTTCATTAGACAGTCTTCTAGAATGTGCAAAGGGCACCGACACGCAATCCAAGAAGCACAAGGGCCAACCAGGTGGATGGCGTTAGGCTTGGTCCTACATGCTCAGCAGGGGTCACACCCTTGGGTAATGTGGGACCCCTTCCTTAGGCAGCCCCTCTCTACCCACTTACAAGCAGACCAGAGAAGAGAAGTAACTTGCCCAAGGGCCCACAACGGCTTGGTGCTGTGAGCTACATTACAGTCATCCGTGCAACAGGAATTCAGAAGCGGGGATATTCTCTTCCTCCTGGATTCTGGAGCTCTTGTTTGCATCTGGCAGCCTCAACCTCAAAATTCTCCCTCCTCAGTTTCCAGCTGCTGGGAAAAGGCCTCTCTGCCCACCCAAGTCAGAAACAGGTCTCCCTGGGCCCTGCTTCCTGCTTGATGGAAGGGTCTAGTCCTCCAGTGGCTCATGGGAGGCAGTAGCAGGTGGTAGGAGCCCCCTGGTCTGACCATGGGCCCAGTCTTGCCCCAGATGCCACATGTTCAATCCCAGGGGCCGTGACCCCTGGGGAAGGGGCTGGGCCCTCATCTCTCCCTTCCTGCACCACACTGCCCAGGGGGGTTGAACCATCAACAAACCAACTATTGTCCAGTGTGCTCCAAATGCGAGACCAGGCTGTGCCTGAAACCCTGCCCAGACCTAGCTGCGACCCACCGGGCTTGGAAGAGGAAGCCCCAGTGTGCCAATCCCTTCCCCTTGGCTGTGAATCAAGGGCCACCTTGATTGCTCCCCACCATTGCCCTTGACCCTGACTCCAAGTTCAGCCATGGTGACAGCTGCTGCTGTCCCAGCCCTGTGCTGGACACCCTGGCCAGTTGGGCACACTCCCAGGAAAGGGACTGTCACCTCAAGGTCTCCAGATAACAGCCTGGAGTACAGGAATATAAGGGGGTGCCCCCAGGTAGGCAACACACACCTCCCTGACTGCAGCACCATGGCCTTCCTGTGGTTCCTCTCCTGCTTCGCCCTCCTGGGCTCAGCTTTCGGTGAGTACCTGGCCGGGGAGGCTGGGAAGGCAGGCTCCCCTTCTCTCTTGGCCGAGGCCAGCAGGGCAGCAAGGGGTCCCAGCCCCCTGCTCAGCTGTGCATGTGTGTGAGCCGACGCGAGTCTCTCCCTCCTGTGCTTCACGGAGCCCATCTCAGCAAGAGGGGCACCGCGGGGACTGGACCAGACCAGCAGTGAGGCTCCCTGGGAGGAGGTGGACTTCCCTGGGACTGTCCAGAGGCCTCACACCCTCTGCAGAGCACAGAGGAGACGTGTCCAGGAAGTTTTCTGAGCGGTCAGTGGCTCCCCGGCAGGCTCAGACGGCGAGCGTGTGGGCAGCATTTTTCAAATGGTGCTCGCTGAAAGCTCGGGAGAGGCCAGGGACTGACCGGGTGCCTGCTTAGCCTGCTAACTCGTCTGGCATCCTTGCAGCAACTCTGTGAGGCTAGCGGCTGGACGGTCCCCATTTTGCTGATGGGGAAACTGAGACTCAGGGTGGTTACTCTAGGCAGTGATGGGGGGGGTTCAAATCCACAGACTTCAGCCTCCAGACCACTCTCTGGACCCGATCCTGCCTTGACTGCAGTGTTCTGGGATTGTCTGGGCTGAAGCACACGTCACACTGAACTCTGGGGGGGGGGGTCATGTAGGGGGGCACCAGAGCCAGCTTTGACCTCCACCTCTGACCCCATACGCCCACCCCCAGGCTGCGGGGTCCCCGCCATCCACCCCGTGCTGAGCGGCCTGTCCAGGATCGTCAATGGCGAGGACGCCGTCCCTGGCTCCTGGCCCTGGCAGGTGTCCCTGCAGGTAAGGGGGGATCTGAGCCGGAGTGGGGTCACACTGGGGTACAGGCTCGCTGGGAAGGGGCTGCTCTCCAGGTGGCCAGCACTGACCCTCCCGTCTTCCTCCAGGACAGCACCGGCTTCCACTTCTGCGGGGGCTCCCTGATCAGCGAGAACTGGGTGGTCACCGCTGCCCACTGCAGTGTCAGGTGAGACCTGGGGGTCCCTAGGAAACCCTTGGGGATGGGAGAGACGCTCAACACTGAGGACTAGTCCTTTAACTCTTTTGCTCCTCAGTTTTCTTATTTGGAAAGTGTAGAAAACGCCACCCACCGCCCTCCTGGGTGATGGGGAGGAAACACCCAGCAGGTGATGACCCCTCACCCCAGGTGCCATTCTGAGGGCCCATCCCCCACAGGCGTGCTCACATGCACGAGGGCCATGTGCAAGCCTGCACACCCACACGCACACCTCAGCAGCCCGCAGTCCCGCGTGCCCCAGCCCCACCTCACAGCAGGAACCTGTCCTTTCTCTGGCTTCTAGAACCTCCCACCTCGTGGTCGCCGGAGAGTTTGACCAGGGCTCCAATGCTGAGAACATCCAGGTGCTGAAGATCGCCCAGGTACGATGGCCCCGGGATCCAGGTACAGACCCCCGCAAGGCGGCTCTGGGGAGAGTGCAGCCCTAATAGGCTGGACCAAGAGGCCTGGGGACCCCAGCTCTTCCCCAACACCCCATGATAAGGCAAAGCAGAAGGTGGGGTGTACAAAGTTCCAGATAGGGGAAAAGGGCTACCTCAGCCTTTGGGCCTCAGTTCCTGCAGCCAGTGAAAGAGCTTTGAGCCCAACAGCCATTGGCCAAGGAGGCAGCGGGGGCCAGCCCCGGTCCTGGTCCTGCCCGCGGCCTGTTGCCTCCCAGACCCCAACTGAAGCTGTCCGACCTTTCCCCCCAGGTTTTCAAGAACCCCAAGTTCAACATGTTCACCGTCAGCAACGACATCACCCTGCTGAAGCTGGCCACCCCCGCCCGCTTCTCCCAGACCGTGTCCCCCGTGTGCCTGCCCAACGACGCTGATGACTTCCCCGCCGGCTCCCTGTGCGCCACCACCGGCTGGGGCCTGACCAAGCACACCAGTGAGTGGCCAGCAGGCGGGTGGGCACGTGCCAGGGATGGCCAGGTAGGCGGGGCTGTGGTTGCTGACACCACCCATCTGCCCTTCCAGATGCCAACACCCCCGAGAAGCTGCAGCAGGCCGCCCTGCCCCTCCTGTCCAACCCTGAGTGCCAGAAGTACTGGGGCAGCAAGATCACCGACACCATGGTGTGCGCCGGTGCCAGCGGTGTCTCCTCCTGCATGGTATGGCCCCTTGGGCTCTGCTGGTGCCCCTTCCCTCCCAGCAAGGTGTGGGTTCAGGCAGAAGCCCAGGGTCTTGGGCAAAAGAGGAAAGAGACGAACTAGCAGGCAGGGCTCTTTTTAGGGCCTGCCCCTCTCTCCTTAGGCAACCCTGCCAGAGTAGTGAGGAGGATACGGCCCTGGAGATCACCCACGTCCTCAGCGGACAGGTGCCAGGAGAGACTCTGGTGTCAGTTCCCAGATGGCAAAATTTCACTGCTAACACCATCTGAGCAAAATGCACCTCCTGGAGTTGTACAGTGCTCAGCCTGGGCAGCAGGACAGGGGTTGCAGATGGGCTCCAGAGGACCCTTCTCCCTCAGCGTGGCCCCTTCACTTACCACCATGCTTTGCTCCTATTTTTCAAACTAGCTTTATGGAAGCTTTACCATAGGACCCCACTTCAGGGGTGACCCTGATTTCCAGGGCACAGACCACAGTAATTGCTAATATTTTTTTCCTAATCCCCCCAATGGCCCCGCGCTGAGCTTCTACTGAAGGCTGTCAAGTCCTAGACTGGGCTCTGGGATGGCATCCAGGGCCACGTGAGCTGCCAGATCCAAGCACTCTTATCCCTCTCCCACAGGGTGACTCTGGTGGCCCCCTGGTCTGCCAGAAGGATGGAGCCTGGACCCTGGTGGGCATCGTGTCCTGGGGCAGCGGCACCTGCTCCACCTCCAGCCCTGGCGTGTACGCCCGCGTCACTAAGCTCATGCCCTGGGTGCGGCAGATCCTGGCTGCCAACTGAACCCACGGCCCCCCACAGCCTTCCTGCTGACCCTATTTCTCTAAAGCCCCAATAAACAGATTAAAGACATGTCAGTGGTGTGCGTGCCTGTGTCAGGGCCTCCAAGGCCTCATTCTACTCACGAGCTTGGTCTTCAGCGGGCTAGGCTGGGGGGCAGGGGTGGTCTCTGAGGGACCTCCTCATTCCTCCCCAGGGAGTGGCCAGGAAGGTCACAGGCACATGAAGTGGGGTGCAAAGAGAATGGCGACGCCTGGATAGGCCTGGGATAGGCAGTCAACTAGGCCTCCCCCAAACCCCTGCCCCCTAGGCTGTGGGGGCCTCACCGTCCACCCCACAGTGTGCTAGAGGGTGAGCCCGCGGTGGGCTCCACACCCCTGTGGTTCCCGGGAAGCTTCTGATCTCCCAGGTCATGCTGGAACCAGGAGCTTCTCAGTCTAAGAACTCTGATAGGGAAGGGATGGCAAGGCAGCGTGGTAGGCAAGGGGAATTTAACAGGGGCCCCCCAGGATAGACCCCACCCCACCTTCTGAACCTCACCGTGGCGTTTCTGAAGGTGGTCTTCCGCTTCCTCCTCTCTGGCAGTAGCTTTCGCAAGTGCGAGACTCAGGCAGCCCAAGTGAAGCCTCGCCCGCCTGCCGCTGGAAGCAGGGCACACGAGGCTCCAAGGCCTCCTTCTGCTGACTCCCCTCAACCAACGGCACCTCACGGGGCCAAATCCCCTTCCTTCTCATACCTGTCCCCAGCCCACAGCTGCCCCCTCTGGGCCACCCTGGACACCTCTGCCAGGCTTCCCCCGTCCCCCAGGAAGTCCCGCAGGCACCTCACATGCTCCCTTGTCTTGGGGTCTCCGCCATCCATGCAGAAGCAGGGGTTGAAGGATGGGAGGTCAGGATTCCTCCAACCTCTGGACCCAGGCAGCCTCCTGGCCCCAGCTGTCCCTGCTGCAAACTCAGGGCTCAGAGGATGGACACTGCCCTTTGGAAACACAGCAGGCTGGGGAGCTACCGATATGAGGGTCCCCTAGAACCAGCTTCCCAGTCCCAGGCTCCTCCCCAAGGGCACCTAAGGGTGCTACTGAACTGGGTGATGGTACAGCAGCCAGAGTTCTCATTCCAGGGGACGAGGCCTGGAGGTGCCAGCTCGTCACCCTGGCCCCCCGGGACATCCACTTATGTATGCCCTGTCCCATGCTCCAGCCACCGTGTCCCAGGCTGCAGGGTCTCTGCCACCCACCCCAAGCTAAGCAGCCTGTCCAAGGTTGCCAATGGGGAGGATGCGGTCCCGGGCTCCTGGCCCTGCATATGTCCCTGCAAGTGAGGGGGAGTCTGAGGCGAGCTGGCTAGGCCAGAAGGGATGAGGCAGCAGAGGCGAGGCTGCACACGCCCCCCTCCCCAGGCCTGCTCCAGCCCCTTCTTCCACGGGACTCCCTGTTAGTACTGAGTGGTCACCGCTGCCCACTGTGGGGTCAGGTGAGGCTGACTGGCAATAGGGTGTCAGGGGACATCTCTTATTCCCTCCCAACCTTAACCTCGATTTATCACTCCTGCCTGGCAGCACTACAGGAGAGGACACAACAGGCTTCCCAGAGACGGTCCTGTTGCCCACCACACCGCAGTAGACCGCTTTTCATTTTTCAAATTTTATTTAAATGTAGACTATTAGTCAAGTGATTGGAAAATCAATAATGAAAAATAGTTCTTTAGGGTTTTCTCCAGGTGCAGAGAAGGAACACACCACAGCTGCGTTTGCCCTACTGGAGGGGACACAGCACCCTAGTGGGTCAGCCCAAGGTCGAGGTACCTGGGCACCCCTGACCTAGCCCCATGCTGGGGCCCTCCCCGGCCAGCTGAGGGCGGACCACCAGCCCGTCCCGTGGCCTCAGCTCCAGGACCCAGCCCTGCTTCCTGGTCCATCATAAATATATACAAATCCCTGGTCAGTCTTGGGCACTGGGCCCGGGTGGAGCTGTAGGCTGCCTGTGCCCACAGCCACATGTAGTGACTTTCTTGGGACAGCTCGGACCATCACTGCCCTGCTCCCTCTGCCCTCCATCCCTGTGGTCGTCTGCTCTCAGGCAGCTGCCAGCTGGCCCAGGACACGGCGGAACTGCTGGGTGCTGTGGCCCAGCTCCTTGACCCTGTCCATCATGTCCTGGGCGGCAGTGGCCGAAGGGTACTGTAGGGCGGCAGCCTTGGTGGTGGCCACAATGCCACGCAGGAGGTCACAGAGCAGGTTGCTGTAGTGGGTCACCTGGTTGCGCACGTCAGCCGCCTTGGCCTGACGCGACAGTGTGTCCCCGATGAACACCAGCTTGTGGGCACTGAGGATGACGAACTTGCTGTGAGCCACGAAGATCTTGGGCGGCTGGTTGGTGGACACGGCAGTGAAGAAGGCCTCCACTGCGTTGGTCAGCGTGGTCAGGTTGGCCTCGCACTGCTCCAGGTAGAAGAGCAGCAGCTGCCGGTCAGAGGGCCCCAGCCCTCCCGTCCGCCCTGGGGCCAGCGGCTGGGCCTGTGTCCAGTTGGCCAGGTCGTGGTCTATGGGCCGTGACACTTCCTGCTCCAGCCGCTCAAACTGCTTCAGCTGAGGTGGAGGGAAAGCAGAGTAAACACCACAGCCACAGAGTTAAGGGAAAGAGGGGGCCCTTCAGAAAGAGGGGCCACCTCCACCCTCTTGTGTGAACAGACAGATGCCCTGACCAGTCTCCTGGAGACTGAGAACAACAGTAGGATTCCATGCACATTTTTGTCACATTTTTGAGATGACAAAATCAAAGAAATGAACAAGTAAGCAGCTGCAGGGTGAAGGAGGTCAGTCTCAGTTTGGGGGTACTCGCCAGTGGATGGAAGTTTGGGGAAAATGGGGTGAAGGGTAACCAGGACTTCTCTGTACTCTGAAGAGTTTTTTTTAAAAACAAAAGAGTTTTTTTAAAAACGAAAACAAACAAACAAAAAAACTTCTCCTTAACACGTATTCTTGTAAAAAAAGATCAAAATACCCCAAAGGAAAAAAAGATAACCCTCACCAGGAACCCCAGGTGTCCAGAAACAACCACTGCTAAAATTCTGCAAACTAGTCTTAAGAAAACTGTACACTGGGGACCTCCCTGGTGGCACAAGGGGTTAAGACACAATCTATGAAGCTATCTGCAGCCACTGCAGCACAAGTTCGATTCCTGGCCAGGGAGCTACCCACATGGAGCAGCAGACCTCTCCTAACTTGCCGCTGCTCCCCTCAGCAGTGTATTTCAGTCAGTCTGCCTGTTCTGTTTCCCGCTCTGTCTCTGATGTATCTTCTCACCCCCACACCTCTGGCCTGTACCCCAGTTCTTGTATGCATAAATAAATCTTTAAAAAAAAAAAAGAAAAGGAAAAAAGAAAAACTGCACATTGACAGATCTGCAGATGAGAGAAACTTTATGGCTGATATTTCTGTATTGTGTGCTAGTTTAAATTTTTATTTTTAAATTATTTTTAATCAGAATAAAACTTCCTTGTCTTTTTTTCTACACAGCCTATTCCTCTCAGGAAATGATCCAAAAATATGAAGAAAACCGTATGTCTGCACAGCAGTATTATTTAAAATATGGAAAACAGGGTTTCCCTGGTGGCGCAGGGATTAAAGTCTCAGCGCTATCAAGCTACTACCAGCCACTGTGGCATGAGTTCCATCCCCGGCCAGCTAGGGAGGTACCCACATGGTGCAGCAGACCTCTCCTGTCTCGCCCACTGCTCCCCACAGCAGTGGATTTCAATCAGTCTGTGTGTTCTGCTCCCTACTATGTCTCTGATGAATCCTCTCACACCCCACCTCTGGCCTACACCCCAGGTCTTGTATGCATAAATAAATAAATAAATAAATAATAAAATAAAATATGCAAAACAACAAACATTCAAAGACATTATATGGCGTTAAAGACAACTTCTGAAGAATGTTAAATGCCATGGGAAGTGCTTGCGACACAAGCCATCATGACCTCACAGGCATCACTGCAAACACAAGAGGGCGCTCCAGAGGCAGGAGCGGGGCTGGAGAGCCGCCCAGCTCACAGTGCCTATGCCTCTGTGGTGGCTTCTTTTCTGCTTTATTACACCTCTGTATGTGCTCTATAAATGTCTAGCATGGGGCCTCCCTGGTGGCGCAGGCGGTTGAGCACAGTGCTGTGAAGCTGTCTGCAGTCTCTGCAGTGCCGGTATGATCCCCGCCGGCCTCGGAGCAACCCACATGGCGCGCAGACCTCTCCTGCCTCACCCACTGCTGCCCTCAGCAGTGTATTTCGTCAGTCTGCCTGTTCTACTCCCCACTCTGTCTCTGGTGAATCCTCTCACCCTCCTGTGCATCTGGCCTGTACCCCGGCTCTATGTATAAATAAAATAAAACCTTTAAAAAAAATTAAAAAAAATAAGTAAATGCCCATCATGATTGCTCTGGTAACCATTTAAACACAGACCCAACACATACATGGAGATATCACAAGACAGAGCAAGAAAGGACCTGGGCGGCTCAGCTCTGGGACAGGTTCTGAGATGACTGGCTCTCACGCAGCCTGTGAACCTGAGCATCCTCACCTGCTGCAGTTCCAGCTGGCCCTTCCCCTGCCGCATGATGTTGCCCTTTTCCAGCAGCTCCTTCTGGGTTTTCTCAAACTCTTCCTTCCCCTGGAGGATACAAGGACAGGGCTAAGCTGGAGCTCCAAGGCCCGGTGGGTGCAGTGCAAAGTGACTGGCCACCAGGTGGCACTGCACACCACACACCAGGCCACCATGTGGCCAGCAGGACCAGGGTGGGAGCAGGAAGCTGTTTTCCCCACCTCTTTCACCTCCTGCCACCCCAGGAAGGGGCAGGGCACACTCATGTGGCCATGGCCATCCTGCCCAGCCTCCCATGCCAGGAATCACATCCGAGCACCTCCCCTCAGTATACAGGGCCTGGCCACCAATGCCTGCCCCAGTGGGCGCCTCCCTGGTGCAGTCACTGGGCTTTGGCACCTGTGGCCCTGGCCCCACCCCACCTTCCCCTAACTTTGCTTTCTTTCTTCCCCCAAGTCTGACACCATGTCTCTGTAGCTCAGAATCTATCTCCCCCAACAGAACAGCGCCACCCGCCGAGGGCCTGAGGAGAGTGAGGACTGGGCTTCGCCATCAGGCCCGAAAGATCAAAGTGAGAGGAGAGGAGAGCAAGAGCCCACTGGGGGCCAAGTCCTCCTTTAGCCACAGGAGCCCCCTGTGGGGGGGTCTATCAGGGTGCCCACAATAGGAGTGACAGCCAAAGCCCAGAGACGACTGGAGGGTTGCCCGAAGGGCCCAAAATCTGGCAAGGCAGGCACCCACCTGCAAATGGACGTAGTCGTAATCCTCCATCCAGCCCCCCTCACTGTTCTCGTACTGCCCATCTGGTGAGTCCTGGGAGGTGAACTTGGGGGGTGAGGGCAGGGGCCGGGACTGGATGCTGCTGGCCTTGTCGGCGGGGTTGGGGTACAGTGGGCCACCCCCCTCAGGCCCCGGGACAGGGGCCTTGGTCCGTCTGAAGAGCAACGAGGCATTGCCATGCAAGAAAGAGCCTAGCTGCTTTGCATCCTCGGGCACAGCCCGTGAGCAGGCCACCAGGCGGTCCAGGTCTTCTGCAGTGGCCCCTGGGCCTCTACTGTCAAGAGCCTGACCATGGGCCACCAGAGTCTGGTACACGTCCTCCATCTTCTGCAGCTGCCAGCTGAGCTTGGCATGTAGTGTACGGTCAGAAGTGTGGGCGGCATTGCCCACAGCGCTGCGGGCAAACTCCAGCAGCTCATGTACAGCCCCCTGGACGGCAGCCACCGCAGTCCGCAGGTCCTGTGCCGGAGGCTCCTGAGGCTCGGGGTTGCTGCGCCAGGCCCCACTCGTGGTGGCACTGCCCACCAGGTCCAGGAGGTGGGCAACAGTGGCGCTCACACCTTGCTGCAGCCGTGACAGGGCCTCCATGGCCACCTCCATATCCAGGGGCTCCCGGCCTGGTACTGCAGCCTCCAGCGAGGATGCCGACTGGCTGCTGCGCGTGCTACCCGTGCTAGAGGCAGACAGGCGCTTGGCATCAGCAGGGGCCTCTCGCTCAGCTGGGGGGGGCACCGAATACACACCGTCGTCAGCTATGCTGCCATCAGCCACCTCGGGAGGAAGAGCCCGCTCCCGGGGCACGTCGTAGAGGGTGCTGGGGCCAGGCCGCCGCAAGCCAGGGGGCACATCATAGAGGTCAGGGGCAGGGGGCGGCACGTCATACACATCCTCAGTTGGTGGGGAGTCTGGAGGGGGTGCAGCAAGGACCAGTGGGTGGCGGGTTGGGTCAAAGGGCTTGGCTTTGGCGAAGGCTGGGGGCACGTCATATGTCTCCTCACGCATCAGTGGACCATCAGGCACATCCTTGCTCACCGATGGAGGAATATCGTACACCTGGGGGGCCAAGGGATAGGTAAGGCTGCCTGCCCATCTGCCCGGCTAGGAGGGAGCCTAGGGACAGAACCATATGCATGCGCGCTCACTCACTCTCTCTCTCTCTCTCTCTCTCTCTCTCTCTCTCTCTCTCTCTCCCCCTCCCCCTCAATCCCTCCTACACACACACACACACACACACACACACACACACCCCCAGGTGCACACATCCCTCACAGCTCTTATCCATGCAGGTTATGGTTATGAGTTCAACTCTGGACCCAGATGATCCAACCACAAAATCCTGGCCCTACAGCTTACTAGCTGTGGCCTAGGCAGGTGACTCAACTTCTCTGTCCCTTTCTGCTCATCTGTAAAACAGAACTCACTCATGACAGGTTTGTTGTGAGGATTACAAGTGAGTTCGCCTAACTGCATAACCACAAACACTCAGTGAGAGATTAGTTCTGGAACCACCACCACCACCCCGTGTTCCCTACTACGTGGCGGGTACGTGGCTAGGCCATCTTCACGACACGTTCAGGGTGATGATGTCCCAGCTCACCCAGGACAGTCCGGTATGTGCATGACACTCCCATATTACGGGTTGTCCCCCTTTTGCTTTCAAAGTGTTCTGGTTTGAATGACAAATTCTGCGGTCACCTTGCTGATATTCTGTGAATCTGTTAGGGGCCATTTTACCAATGAGGACGCTGAGGCTTAAGAGAAAGGTGGGTTTCGAGATCAGAGAGTGGGGTCCAGCCCTGCAGAGATGGACCCACCCCAGTGCACAAACTCGGCCCCTCCCAGAACCTGTACACAGATCAGCTCCCGAGGCCCAGCATTCCTGACAGCTCACCGCATGGTGGTTGGATGGCGGCAGGCCCTTCTCCACACTGGGAGGCACGTCATACACGTCCAGTGATGGGTCCCGGCCGTTGGGGCCTTTGACAGCCATAGGGGGTGTATCATATACCTGAAGGTAGGAACAGTGCAGTGACACAGGTGCCAGGGCCACCTGGGAAGATGGACAGAACAGAAACCACACCGCGCCCACCCAGAACTGCTCTGGCCAGGGCCAAGAAAGGTCATCTCCCTGAGCCAGGGTGGGATAGAGGCTCCCCACTACCCCTTTATTGCCCCAATACTTACCTCCTGGCCATACTGGCTGGGAAGCAGCCCCCGAACAGGGGGCACATCATAGATGTCCTGGGGCCCAGAGGCCAGCAGGTGGCGTGGGATGTCATACTCGTCCTGTTCTGGCTGGGAGGCCTCAAACACATAGCCTTGCCCCACGCGGGTGGGCACCACCACCTGGGGACAGACAGCTGTCGGTCACCACCGGCTCAGGAAGCCAGCCTCCAGGACACATCCTCAGGCCTAGGGAGACCCCCCACCATGAGGAGGGGGAGGCACACAAAGGGGGGCCTCCCCAGGGTGGGGTTCAGAGGCATCAGTCCTCATCCCTTTGGATTCTCTGCCCTTTCCTCCAGGATAGGCAGCGCACAGGGAACCAGGTGCCCAGGCCTGTTTATCTATTCTCACGCAGAAACAGAAGCGGTCTCTACTTCAGGATGACCTGGAGGGTTCTAGGCAAGGGAGACAAGCAGGGAAAGCAGCCACCCTTGACTGGAGGACGGCTATCTGATGACACCTCCCAGCTACGCTCTCTGCAGAAGGGCCTGCCAAGCCAGGGGCTGCAGGAACCAGCAGCCACCCTCAGGGTCTAGGACAGATGGAAGTGCTAGTGCCAGGCCGTGTTGGCTTCAGGCCAGACACAGAGGAGACATGCAGGAGATTCCCTCATTCAGGACCCAGGGCCTCGAAGGAGGTGGTGGCCTGGCAGAGCAGCAAGCGATACCCCTTTCCTCCTCATCCCCCAGGCACATTTTGAGGAGACCCCAGAGGACAGAGCGAACAAGGACTCCCAAAACTCAGGATCAGTTCTGGGGCAGCTGGAGGAACTGGATTGGTTTGGAAAGTCAAATGTAGGTACGGGGAGCGGGGGGGGGGGGAAGGCTGGAAAAGACTAGAACCAAGAACCCTTCTCCCCACTGTATTACACCCACAGGGACTCTGAGACCACCATTCCCACAAAAGTATAAGGCCTGAGTGGGGGGACTTCTGTCCAGAAAGGAGGCCAGTCCCTTTCTCTCCCCTGGCAAGGCTCCAGGGCTCAGAGCTGCAGTGGCAGAGCCTCACCACGCAGAGAAAGGGCTGGCGTCTGCTGGGGCCTGCTCACAGCCTTCACTCCAGTACCAGAGAGCCAGCACCTGGCCTGTGAGAAGGGGCATGCCTTGCAAGAGGATATGGTCCAGGGCAGGAGAGGAGGTCATGTGGGGGCGTGTCCTCTGGGAGGGGCAGTCCTTGGGGAGGGGCGTGGGGGGGCGAGCAGGAACTAGCCAGGGCACGCCTCCTCCACAAGGCTCCAGGCTCAGTTCTTCTCCTGACAGAAAGGCCTTTGTTCCTTAATCAAAGGGGACATCTGGGGCAGGGTTGACTCAGACCCTCCCCACACACATCCATGCAGGCACCGCTCCCCCCAGAACCAGAGTCCAGCGCCCATGTCCAGCCCCCGCCAAGCACAGCTCAGCTAGCTCTGTTCCTTCTGTACCACAGAGGGCGGCTGCGGGCGCAGCGCTGGCACGGCAGAGGCAGCAGAGTCCACCCCCCGAAGAAGGACGCCAGCAGCACTTTTCTGACCAGCCCAGAGCTTGGCAGAGCCTCCTGCTAATGTATCCCTGGGGCAGCCTTCTGGGGCAGCGTGGCAGATGAACCCGTGACACCAGGCCTCTTGGGGCACCCCTGGCAGGAGGGGTTTACTGACAAGCAATCTCAAAGAGGGGCTGGCCAGAGGCTCCACGGGGTGTTCCCCGCCCCTCCCCACACCGGCCCCGCGTGTCTGGAGTGGAGTTGGCGGCCCTCTCCAGACTCATCTCCCTATGCAGCCCCAGACTTGAGTCTCCTCCAGAGCTATTTTTAGACACTGGAACCTGCCAAGAGCAGGGCAGGCGGGGCTGAGGGGGTGCAGGGGGGACGTGGCAGGTTGGCGGGCCTGGGGAACAGGCATGAGGCTTCTCCAGGCCCGGGATTCTGGAGGAAGGAGGGGACCGGCCCAATGAAGAGGAGTGTGCACTGGCCTCCGCAGTGCCCATCCTACCCTCATGCACAGGAGAGGAGCGGGCAGGAAGATGGGAGGAAGGGCCCTGGGGCTGGACCTCCGGCCAGGCTAAGGGCAGTCTGGCGTTGCTGCCGCTCCTGCAGCTGAGGCTGACACTAAGCAGTCACACTGGCGAGTCAATGTTTTTGTTAGGAAAAAAGGCAAGGCATCCACCAGCCAATTCTCCAGAGAGTTGCTGAGCTGCTAATCACAGGCCGCCCTGCCCTGCTCTACACCTGAGGCCCCATGAGGAGGGTCCGGAAGCCCTGGTGCTGGGGGACACAGTCCGTGTGCAGAGGGGGCGGCAGACAGAGGCAGAGGAAACACACCCAAACCCCTCTGCCCACCTGACAGACACACAGTGCCAGGGAGCGCGGGGTCCCATCAGGGCATCGACATACAGCCTCCTAAGATCCATGAGAAGGCAGAGAGTGGGGGCCTCCCGCGCCCCAGTTCTGGCTCCAGCATTCTGTCCACACCTGACCACCTCCAAGCAGCTCTCCAGCTGGCTGGCCTCCCGCTGACGCAAAAGGGACGTGGCCACAGGCTGGGTGGGGAGGCCTCTGGCAATTTCCTCCTCTGAGAAGTGGACTGATGCAGGAGTGCTGTGGGACAGCGTACATGACCATCTAAGCTCTCACGGACCCATTTAAAAACTCCTGGGCTCCCCCCCAGGAGCCTAGGGAGGAGATGAAGCTCCTGGGTACCTCCCTGTGGGGGGTGGAATTCAGAAGGAAGACCTAGTTCAGCTGTGTCTCCTCAGGCGCCTGAGCAAGCGCCAGTTGTCCCCTTAGGCACAGCTGCAGCCCCTGACCCAGAGGCGCTCCTCAAAGAGTGACCTCATGAAACACCACCCCCTCTGATGGCCCCACCTCCCTCTGCCCTCAGCTTCTTAAAGCACCCCAAGGGTCATGGTGCCAGGGTGTGGCCTGGACCACTATCCCAGCGATGCAGGCCACTTTGCACCAGATGTCGGATGCCTCCTGGCCAGCTGCCTCATGACTTCCCCTCCCCAAGTTCTGGTGGGGCCTCCTCTACCCTTGGACCAGGAGGCTCAGTTTCCCAGACTTCCAAAGGGGAGGAGGAGACTTAGGAAAGCACAGCCTCAAAATGTGGGCACAGATGCATGCACCCAGATGGTCAATGCCAGGCTGTTTGTATTCAGAACGAGCAATCAGAAACCACCTAGAACCCATCCCCCTGGGAGGGGGTAACGCAGCAAACTGGGGCAGCCTTCAGTAGGACTGAGGGAGAACTTTTACTAGCCCAAGAAAATTCTTTTGATAAGTAATGCTGGATTTACAACCTCAAAAAGCAAACGTATGTATATAAATCTGTGCAAGACAAACAGAGAAAATGCTAGACAAAATATGCAAAAATTTCCTGGCAATTACCTCCTGACTGGGGAATTTCATCTCTAGGCCTTTCCATACGTTACGCATTTGCGCTAACAAACAAGCATGCGGTCAGGATTGTGAAACAAAAGCATGTGCAATCAAGCCTGCCCCGGACAGAGACAGGACAGCTGAACCCCGGGGCCGAGGGCTCTCCTTCCTGGCCTGCCAGCCACAGGGCTCTCAGGGACACAGGCCCTGGGCAGCGCCAGGGTAGGCCCGGGCAAAGAGGGCCAGCCAGGTGAGTCCAGAGCAGTCTGGGAGCAAGGCCTTGGCACTTGAGGGAAGCAGAATCCACAGCCAAAACACAGGCTCGAGTCTGAGGACCTCAAGGCTGCTTCCTGGTGCTCTGCCTGCCCCAGCCTCCCAGATGCACCAGGACGGGCATGACTGCCCAGGCTCAGCACAGGAGTGGACGGAAAAGGGAAGGGCACAGCACCCAGGGTGTGCACAGAGCGTGGACTCTGAGGGTGTACCTGGACGGGGAGTGCGTGTCTGTAAGCTGTGTCTCGCTGTAACTCACTGGGAGCTGTAAGCAAGAGTCTGTGTGAGTGTCTGCACATGGGTGTGTATGTATGCATCGGGAGGAATGGGCGATGGCCTGTCCTGGGGCTCACTAGCCAGGCCCTGGACAGATGCACCCCGAGCAGGGCTCTGTTCCTCCTACAAGCCATCTTGGGAGTGGCCCCAGTCTGGGCTCTCTCGCATCTAGCAATGGCATGCTTCTGCCACCACTCTGCCACTGGCCACACAGCTGAAGGGGCAGGGAGAGCAGAAAGGGGGACCCCAATGACCCAGGGTACCTTGGTGGCCAAGCTCTGGGATCAGTGTCCATAAGGCCTCACCAATGAACTCCGGCCAGGTCTTCTGGGTGCCACGGTCTGCCCAGTGGGGCGGGACAGGGTGACACTACACTCTGCCCCACTGCCCAGCTGGACGTCTAGATCCAGGGAGCTCTGGACTAGATGTGACAAAAACATGAAGTGGGCCTAGGCCCCAGGGAGCTGATCCCAGCAGAGCCAGTGGCTTCTCCTAAAGGACAGCTACTGGGCTCACTGGTCTCTCCCACCAGGACCTCCAGGGCACAGTGCCCTGCGGAGGGCACTGTCATATGGCTGGGTTTCTCTGGGTCTTTCTGGGGGTTCTGCAAGGGAAGAGCAGACATACAGGATGCAGGAGAACTGGAGGACAATTCTGTCTCCCAGGTCCGTGGATACCTCCTTCACTTCTGGGACCCACAAAACCCCCAACTCCTGAAGGGACCTGGGCATGGGGAAGCACAGGCGAAAAGTGAACAAGGTATGCTTCTCACTCAGGCCAAGGCAGCAAGCAGAGCCTGGTCTCCATCTTCTGTCCTTCCTTCTTGCCACCAGCAGAGTGATTTGGAGGGACATACAGGTAGGCGTCGCTTCCCCGCCCCAGAGAGGAGAAAGGCAGGGTACCCAGGGAGTCAGGGTGGCAAGAAGATGTGCTCCAGCCCCAACCCAGAGGACCTGGCGAGCCCCTCAGCTCAAAGCAACTGGCCTCTGCCTGTCCCTTCTCCTCCCAAGTGCCAGAGCTCACATGGCCCAAAAGACACGATCCCAGAGCTGAGGAGGGAGGAGCGGCAAGAAAGGAGGAGCTGGGGGCCCACCGTGGGCAGTCCTGCAAACCAGAGTGAGAAAGAAACATCGCACCGCTCCCCCATTGCCTCCACCCTTGCGCAGAATTTACCAGGTCGCTCCTATTAAAAATCCTCCATCCTGGGGAGAGCATCCAGGCCCCTGTGGACACCAGACCCTGAGGGGCTGTCCCCAGCCTGCTGCTCAGGCCCTGCAGCCCACCTGGCATGCAGATACTCTGCCACACCTCTGGGAGCTGGACAGGGTGCATCCTCTGCCCCCAGGCCACCTCCTTGTACACAGTCAGCTCAGAGAGCAGCCCTCTGGGTGGCTCCAGCCTCCTCACTTCTCTAGGTACACCAACAGCTTCCCCAAATGCTCACCTCCCACGTTGGCCCCAGACCAAGCTCGGAGCCACTGCAGGAGCCCCAGAGAACCCAGAATGCTGGGCTGGGCCCTCTTGGGCCCCAAAACCCAGGCTGGGTGAGACCTATGATGGGCTTCCCAGCCCTGCCTGGGCAGTCTTACCTTTGCTGGTGGCTTCGTCCCCTCCCAGCTGCGTGCATCCATGGACGGGGGGACCTGGTAGATGTCGTGCCCTATCCCAGCAGAAGGTGGCACCTGATAAATGTCCTGGGCGGGGCTGCCAGGCCCTGGGGGCACCTGGTAAAGGTCTGGGGATGAGTTGGGAAACGAATGATGGGGCATCTGCTTGGAGAACGTGGATGCCTGCTTGGCAGGGGGAGACTGGAACTGTGGGTTGGACCCGGGGGCCTGGTAGTGGCCTTGCTGAGTCTTGCTGGGGGTAGGCACCAGGTAGACGCTGTCGGGCTGGGGCTGGTAAGTAGTGGGCAGCATGGGTGTGTACTGGGCAGCCGGGGTATGGAGGCCAGGTGAGGGCTGGGCCGAGGTGGTGGGTGGGCCGGGGCCAGGTCCTGCTGGCTTCTTGTCGTACATGCCCACCAGGATCTTGAGGCGGTTCCCAGGCACGATGCCTTGGCGCCCATGCAGCGAGCAGAGCCACCAGCCATCCAGGCCCTGTGTGTCCCGCTCCAGCACTGTCATGATGTCGCCCTTGCGGAAGGAGAGCTCATCCGGGGACTCGGCCACGTTGTCATAGAGGGCCTTAGCCAGCACGTTCTGGGGAGAAAGGAAACAGGTGGACATGAGGGCATGTGCTAGGGGCTCAAAGGGCCCCCCAGGACTGGGTAGGCATCTGGCCCTGGCGCTGAGAAAGGAACTCAGCAGGGTTTAAAGTGATCCTGGCGCCTGGCGCCTCTGCTACCACTGCCCCCGCAGAAAGACCCAGCTGATCCTTTCCTCAAATGAGTCTGGAGAGCAACTTAAAAACCTCTTGACCACAGCCACCACCAAGCCTGCAGGGATGGCACTCAAGATGCTCTTAAAAGCCACTCCCCACTTACCCACAATGCAGGCGGACAGCGGGAGAGGGGTGCTGACGACAAGGGCCATGCATGCTGGGAGGGAAGCACGCCCCCCCCCCCAACTGCCAGGCCGGCAGCCAAGAGGAAAAACCGGAAAGGAGAGGAGAGGGGACACACGAGGATGAGAGGGTCATCTTCTGCAGACCACATGGTCATCCACGGAAAAATCCCCACAAACTGGAAGAATCAGCGGCGGCCGAAAGAGCACACACTAACAGAGGCTACAGGTTTCTCTGGGTGAATCAAGCAAAGAGGAGACGAGACTCAGAAGAGAAAACGTTCACCTTCTGTCAAAAGCTCAAGGGAAAATCCAAAGAAAGGGGGAAATGGACCAAGTCTGTGGAGGGTGACTAAGCACTGTAAAAAGCCAACCCACCCAAACTTACTTAATAAATTACAGTGTATAATAAAAACACCAGCCTTTTTTGTTCTGGAGGAATTTGACCAAAGAAGAAGAATCCTTCTAGAACCCAGCGGAGAAATAAAGGTCCCCCGACAGGCAGGACAGTTCTGAAATGAAAGGGCACCCACCTTTCCGCCCCACCCCTCCAAATCTGAGAGTGGGCACCAGCCCCCAGGGACGGGCCAGGGCCCCTCTCGGAGCCTCTCAATGCAGGCCACGGGGGTGCCAAGTGGCAATGGGAAGGGGTAAGACCATCTCAAACACGATACCAGGGCAACTCCTCGCTGGAGGAAGAACAATCAGTTCGGATACTTGCCTCATGTTGTAAACAAAGGGCAATTAAAGACCTACAGGGGAAACGAGGAGTCTAGAGCCAATAAGTGAAGAAAACTGTCTTTGGGCCCGGGGGTGGGGAAAAAAATTATGAAAATAAAACCCCAAACACAAACTCCCCCCCTGCCCTGGAAGCACAAAACAAAAGGTAACAACAAACAGTTGGATTCGACCTCACCAAAGTGACAGGCTGGACAACACATGGCTGACACGAGGTGACAAGTCACCAAATGATGAGAGACACTGATCTGGAATCTAGAGAAGCAAGAAAGGACAAGAACACCAACAGAAAAGCGACACAGAAGGAAAAGGAGGGATACTTCCGGGGAGGGATGTGAGTGAACCAGGCATCAAGAATAACTGGAGTAAATAAGCCAAAGAAGAAAGGGGTCTCACACAGACTGAGGACGGTGCATCCCAGCAGAGCACCCCGCCCTGCTCTCCACTGCAGCTCCTGTGAGTCCGCCTAGAAGCAGGTGCTGCTGAGGCTCCGACAGTCAGTAACCCTCCCAGGGCGAGACTTGAGCCATATGGCCCTGACACACAGAAGCCCTGCAGCCAAGCAGCCTGTGTGTGCAAGGGTGGGCCGGGGCCGTGGAGGGGTCACGAACAGGACAGCACAGGCAGACACCAGTCCAGAGGGCCCAGAACCTCACTGGGCCAGATTTTCAGTCTGGCCCAGGCTGCTGCTGCTATCCACTTGTGCAGGGGTCTCCAGGCCTGGTCAATTCAACACAGGGCAAGAATGAGAGGGCCTGGCCGAGGAGGGCAGCTTGTGGGGATTCAGACCACACCTCATGCTTCGGGGGCCGGGAGCCAGGTGTGGGTAAAGGGCCATGTCAGGTCAGCCAGGCTCCGGTCCACCAACCAAGCGTCAGTTCTCGTTTCTGCCTTGAGTGTCCCACGGTCTGAGGATATAGCCTGGTCTGCGTCCTGAGTTGGAAATGGAACCTGGGATCTGGCCACCCACTAGCTGTGTGGCCTTCCCCAGCTGGGCCCGAGTATGGTCTCCATCTCTAGAAGTCCAACAGGAGCTGGGATACAGACAGAAGGCAGGAGCACTCCCCCTCAGGCAGAAGCAGGAAGTGGGAGCCTGGGTTCTGGGGCAGAGACATGGGGGTGAGCCTCATTAAAGTCCAGGAGGGCCCACTGTCCTCCTCACACCAGTGTCTGAGGCAAGAAGTGCCCCTCTGAGCTCTAGCTCCTGGACTGCTGTAGTAAGGGTGAAGAGGACGACTCAGGGCCCCCCCATAGGAAGGTGGTGGAGGTCAGGCTTCCAGCAGGGGCTCCAGGCCACAGGACTGGCACTCCAAGGCAGGGGAGAAGCAGCATAGAGCTGCTCAGAGCCTCCAGTGGCGGGGAAGTTGGGGACAGGAATGGGGTAGAAGGTCCTGGTTCAGTCCAGCCCAGGCCTACAGCTGACCCCAGAACCCAGGGGAGCAGCCAGCCGGTGGAGCACACTCCATGACTATGGCTGTAAACCACTGAGGGAAAATGAGGCCTCCATAAAATGGTCCTTGAACTTGAAAAATGGGGAGGGGTAAGAATAATAGTGCTGACATTCAAGACAACGAAGGATGCCTCCTGTGTGTTCGGAATTCTTCAGTTTTCTTGGCTCTGGGGTTGAAAAATTAGGTAGCTTGAAAAAAGACAACGGTGGACCGTCTCCCAGGCTCCAGGTGGGCCAGCACCGAGGACGCTGGAGCCCCAGGAGGAGCAGGCAGGGGCGAGAGCAGCCCTGTTGCCCACCAGGGCTCAAGCCCCCCATCCCCAAGCTGCCCAGGAGAAAAGCAAGTTTCCCAAATATGGTCTGCAGCCCGTCTCAGGGAATCACATCCCGTCAGGGGGCGGGACACCCGCCCCCAGTGACCCCGGATCACCAAACCATCCTGCTGGGTCCCCCCAGCCCTTGCCCTGGTGGCCACAGGAAGTGCCAGCAGAGTGAGTCACAGGAAAATTCCCCTCCAGCCCAGTCAGAGGGGGCGGGGACCAGACGGAGTGGGGGATTGCCTCTCAGAGGCCCCTGCCTCCTAGGAGGAGGGCAGTCCAGGAAAGGCTAAGAGAGGGGTTCAACCAGGCAGGACTGGGCACTCAGGATGGCTGGGAGGCTGCAGGACTCTGCTGAGAGCAAGGTCTGCTGAGGAAGAGGGATTAGCAGGGGAGGGTCCTCGAGGGGCCAGAGGAGCTACTGCGGCCTCCAACGCCCAGGGTGGCCAGCCCCCGCACCCTCTGAGTAAGCTATCTGCCCAGCAGTCAAGGCCAACTAGGCCTGCAACTGTATAGTCTGGGGCGGCCGGAGCCAGGCCAGGAAGCACCTCTCAGGCTGGGCACGTGGCCCTGGGCGCCTGGCACCAGGAGCTCCTTGCCTGCGTCAGCCGGTGCTCCGCCCAGAACCCTGGAGGCAGCCTCCCCCAGCCAGTCCCTACGTCCTGGGCACTGCTGGCGCCGGAATGCTCCAGCTGGCCGAGTACCCATCCCGCCGAGCCTCCAAGTCTCCCCAGCTGTTCTGGATAAGCTCTTCTTTCCTTGTCTCTAAGATCCAACCTTGGCCCAGCTCCCCCTCCCACTGCTGGGTGACCTTGGACAAGTCCCTGCACCACCTGGAACACCCAGATGGCTTGTGCTAAGGTGACAGTCCTGAGTATGACAGCACCCTCTAGGGCCACTCCACACCCCTTCCAGATTACCCGCCACCCGCACCTCGGGGTGTTAACTAACATGTCTGGCTACTGGTCACTTCTTGCCCCCCAGCCCCGGTACCAGGACAACTGGGCACTTGAACCACACCTGGCACAGAATGTGCATTGAGCATGCACTGCTGAATGTGTGGCCTCTGGTAGAAGCCCTAGGAGCAGGATGACCACATCAGAGCATGTCAGGAAGACCCTTCGGGGCTTCCTTGCCCCAGAGAGACTGGGGAAGGGGAGAACCCCCAGTCTGATGCTAACACTCTGCAGGCAGTAGCCTGCCTGCCAAGCCAGCTCGGAACAACACTTTGGTTGTTGCACATGGGAGCTGATGAGGCTGCGCCACAAGCCCTGCCTGGCTCTGAGACTGTCCCTCATTGTGTCCTGGAGCCTCAGGGTGCCCGGTCCCCCCAGCCCAGGCAGGACCTCAGACATGGAGCAGCTGGACCGCCCCGCTCCATAGTTACCCTGGAGAGCCCTGGAGGTGCTCTGGGCATCCCCAAACCCTGACTCTGGGGGGAGGATGCTTCCTGGGGTTGGGCAGGAGAGTGACACACTATCCTGTGTGCGCCATCACAGTGATGGCAACAACAGCAATGAGCACAGACCTTGTCTTTAACACATATCAATCATCTCTTTTAACCAATAACCTTATGCGACCACAGGAAACAGGCTCAGAACAGTTACTTGACTTGCCAGGGCCACAGCCGGGCAGCTGCAGAAGCAGATGTGAGATAGATGATAAAATGAGCTGGGTGACTTCTGGCCTCAGGTCCATGGAGGTTTTCCCTCCCTGCACCCTCCAGTCCCACATACACCCATCCCCAGAACAGATCCTCACACCCAGCAGGCACTCAGGAAACACTGGTTCCCTTCATACCCAGAACCATCTCAAACATGGGTCAAGTTTATTTCTGGGGTATTCTGCTTGTCCCAAAGAACCCTCAGTGGTGGATGCAGGCTCAACTGTGTCTGGCAGTCTGCACCCACAACCTGCTCGCTCCTGCGCCAAGAACACCGCTGGAGGGACAGCGACCACAGATCCCCTGGCAGGGTCCTGGCCATCCCCTCGCCCTACCTCCCAGGCAGTGAGGGGCTGTGAAGGACAGCACCTCTTCCCTTTCCTGCCCAGACATCTCCACAACCTCACCCTGGGTGGAACTCTGGAACCAGCCCACCTGGCATGCATCTCCCCCAAGGCTCCCAAGGTCGACAGAATGGTCAGGTTCAAGTCCTCAGTGCTGGGCTAACAGTGAGCAGGAGCCTGGAGAACCCCTAATCCAGAGACATCCCAAGGGGAGCATGGCTCCAGCCTGTTGACTGCAAGGAGACTTGAGGCTCAGAGAACAGAGCAGGGGCTGTGTGGGTCCCTAGATCCTGGTCTGACATCCACAGCCAGAGAAAAGATCTGCAAAACTAAAGACCAAAAGCCCACCTATTGTGGCCTTTGCCAGGGATTACCACACACAGGCACCTGCCACAGCCTGGTCTTGGCTGTAGCAGAGACAGCAGATGCCTTTGTGGCCGCAGCTAGCTTGGGGTGGCAGCACACCCTTGCCCCCACCTCTGCCAGGGTGTCCCAGGTACTGTTCCTGAGGTTGGGCAGAGGAGGAGAGGTGGCATGGGGAGTACCTCCCGCCACCGGCACCTGCAGCTCCAACACACCCTGGGCAATGAGAACAGGCAGGAGTGGGGCCAGAGCACGAAGGCGCTGGCACGGGACGGGTGAGGGCAGAGCCCTCCAGCCTCCAGCCCATGCAGCTGCTAGCAGCTCAGGAATGGGCTCCACTGCACAGAACCTCTGAGTTGCACCCTGACCACACACTGTTCTCCCTGCCCCAGGGCCCTGCTGGGAGGACTCACAGGATTCTCCAAAGTACTCAGAAGAAGGCTCAGCACGAGGCTGACCTGCACTGCAGGGACAGCACCCCAGGCCCAGAACAGAGATCAAGACTCTCCTCAGTCCCAGATCTGGCATCAGGGAGGGGCAGAGGCAGAAGGAACGGTGCAGGTGACAGCAGGAACTGCACTCCTTACAAGGGTGGGCTTCTCCACTCAGACAGGAGCTTCTCCCCTGCAGTCGCTCTCCAGTGCTACATAATTGTTGGTGGCCCTTTCAGCGGCACCACCCACTTGTGCAGCGATAGAGGGGGACACTGTGGTATAAAAAGTGGGGTTCCTCAGCTCAAACAAGTACCAAATCCCTGATTTCTGGATTCACAGCGATAGGGCCTGAAGTAGAGTCTGACTCCCAACCCCTGAACCCCATCCACTCCAAGACGGGACCCGCCACCCAACTCCTCACCTTGACGTGGGAAGGAGTTAAGGCAGCTAGACCGTCCAGTGCTGGAGGGTCAGCAAGGGGTGCCGACAGAGGGCTAGGAAGACCCCCTTGGAGAAAGATCACCCTAAGAATCCAGAGAAGCTGGCCCAAGGCCCTGACCCAGCATGATTTCATCAGCCCCAGCTCACTCCCACCTACAGCCTGCTGACCCCACACTGCCCCTCGCCCCACACTGCCCCTCGCCCCACACTGCCCCTCCGCGCTGAGAAGCCTCCTTGAGAATGCACCTCCCTGCCTGCTGGCTGCCCCAACTGCATGGCTCCTACGTGAGGGCGGGAGGGGAGTGCCGCAGAAGAGGGAAGGCTCCAGGCCTTGGAAAAAAGGGAGGTGGGGCCGCCTCAATGGATGCCACGAGTGGACACAAAGGCAGAGCCCTGGAGTCAGAGGGACCTCACCAGGTGAGCGGCC